AACCTTAAGGTCAGCGGTTCAAAACTACCAGCCGCTCCGTGGGAGAAAGATGAGGCCTTCTACTCCCGTAAAGATTTACACCCTCGGAAACCCTGTACAGGGTCGCTATGGGTCGGACCCGACTCGATGGCACTCAACAACAACAACAAGTCTTGCTCAATTGATCCTTTGATCATGAGATAGTGTCCTTCTTTATCTCTTATGCTGGTTTTTGTCTTACAGTTTACTTATTGGAGATTAGAACTGCCACTCATGCTTGTTTACTGTTGCAGTTAGCTTGGTACATTTTTTTCCATCCTCTAACTATTAGTCTGTTTTTGTCTTTGTGTGCAAGATGTGTCTCTTGCAGGAAGCCTATTGAAGGGTCTTGTTTTCTTATCCATTCTGCCACTCTCTGTCTCTTCAATGGTGCATTTATCCATTGTCATTCAATATAATTATTGAAAGATATGAATTAATTGCTGCCAATATGTTAATGTTTTGGTAGTGATGTTCGTGCCTTTGTTCTGCATGCCTTCTTGTGCTGAATTTGTGTTTTTTGTGCTATTTTTTTGTCAGTTTCTTCTCTGTTTTCATGTTTGCTTGTTTTGCTTGGAAGTTCATTTTCAAGGTGGGTTGTGAAGTATTAACTTTCTTTGGGGTTACCCTATAGCCTAATAACTTTTCCCTCCATTTAAGACAATCTATTGTATCTTGTAATCTACCTGACCTCCTCAACACCTGGATCTTTGTTCCCACATTTTCCCCTTCTTTGACATTGTTACTATTTTGATCTTCAGCTGACCTCCTAGCTCCTTCAAATTCATTGTTGTAGTTTTGTTCTGTTGTGGACTCTGCTATCAGTCTGAGTTTCAGGTGGTGTTGTCACTCTGGTCAATCTCTGGTTGTTGTCTGTTCTTGTTGATTTTCAGTCCAAAGAACTCCCTTTAAGATGTTTTGAAGTGCTGGATTGGCTTTGGCAAAGTCTCTTAGCTTCCGTTTATCCTGGAATGTTTTCATTGCACCATCATATTTAATTGACAGTTTTGCTGGACAGACGATTCTTGGATGGTAGCTTTTTTTTTCTTTTAGGATTTTGTTATGTCTCCCCATTGCCTTCTTGCCTGCATCGTTTATGCTAAGAAGTCACAGCTTAATCTGATTTGCTTGCCTTTGTAAGTAATATTCTCTGGGGGTGTCGACTTGCTCAGGCCCCTCCTCTAGTTACCACCATAGAGGTGTGCAGATATATATTAAGAACTTAATGGGAGAAAGACTGTTTACTAAGTTTTGTCTCTGAAGGTCAGTTAAGTATTTGTGTGTGCACAGCATAATTTTTGAAGTAGTTGTGTCATTTTATGTTGGGATTTTACAGAGTGTTCATATGGTTTGTCTGTCAGGCCAAACCTGCTTTTTTTTATTGCTGGATACACAGGAGTAAAAGGTCCCAGACAAGTTAATTTTAGGGCTGGGACCCACAGTCAGAAATCAAAAGCAGCAGTCAAAGAATTTGTCCTTGGACCAATGGGGCTCTTTCTCTCTGTGCCATGGGAAAGCTGTGGTCTCAACGCTGGACTTTTTGGGGGGTATGCACCTACCTGCCTGAAGGCATCTGGGCTGGGCAAAGGTGGCATGATAGGGAAAAGGAGGAAAAAATGTGTAGAGTCCCCCCACACCTCCTTTTGCAAATGTCACTGTGTCAATTTTAGCACTGGTTGCCTGTGCTGCAATGCAGGTTCCCTGTGCTGGGCTGACTCTAGCCCCTCCCTCTGACCACCACTGGGGTGGGATGGCCACAGAGGGAGTCCAGTGGTATCTTGACCGATTCCTAAGTCACAATATTTTCCTTTATACTGTGATTTTTCCACTGGCGGTACGGGAAACTGACACCCTGAACTTTATGCTAGATCCAGAGCTCTGTTGCTGTTACGGGAGAGAGCTTCTCTGGGTTTTCAGTCCCTCCCGCATGGAGTCTCTCCTACCTGACTCTGCTCTGTGGCCGCCAAAACCAGAAGTCTGCTAATTCAGTCATTTCTTGTAAAATTTAAAGGTATTATCTCTTTTTGATAAGTATGTGTAAACCATACTTAGTCCTGATGTGATGCTGTAGTATAAGCATTGAACTGGAAGCTGCAACAACAGTAGTTTAAACCCACCAGCTGCTCTTGGAAACCCTACACAGGGTTGCTATCAGTCAGAAACGACTCAGCAGCATACAACAACAAATCACACTAATCTAATTTAAACCTAAACTTTAAAAAAAAATTCCATTTTGAAGCGTGAACACAGCTGCTATTTGTTCACATTTTATTGACTTGGGAGCAGTGCTTTGGTTTTTACTATATTAAATTGCCCATTCTGGTTTTATACCATCCTTGCTTTTCTAGGAACCAAAGTACATCATATATGTAAGTAGCTGACAAGTCTCCGTATGTACCTCCAATCACTAGACTAACTTTCCACTAAAGTGGTCAGAAATTACACACACAAAAAAAGGTCTCATTATTGTTTTCATTTGTAAACTTTTAAACAAAGTTAACATTCTTTATTATTTTGCCAACTTTTAGTCTTATTATTTGGGCCAAATTTATCACCAGTAAGCTGGTGGTGGGGAGTACAGTAGATCCATATGATAAGCACTGGACTGTAAACCACAAGTTCAATGGTTTGAGCTCAGCAGCCGCTCCTCAAGAGAAAGATGAGGCTTTCTACTACTAAAAAGATTTAAAGTCTCAGAAACCCTATCCTATACAGGGTCACTATGAATTGGAGCCAACTCAAAGGTACTTTTAACAACAAAAGTCATTAACCCTGGGCAAGGCAATGAAGCAACTAAGTGTACTGAGCTAACCAAAATTGAAAACAATTCATTATATATTGTACTCCATCTGGAAAAAGAAAAAAGAATGAACAGAAGAGAAAAGGAGTGTAAGGAATCCAGTTGGGTTAGAGGGGGGGTCCCAAAGAATAAGAGTCTGGACAAATGCGAAGAGTCTATCCAGACAAGAGAAACAAAATCTGGAAGAAAAAAAAATTGTTCTAGTAGCCAGAGAGATACACTGCTATGAGGGTAAAGATGGATCAACAACCTTCACCACTGCTCATGTAAACGATCCTAGAAGATTATCACATTATTTCACTTAACATCTACATTTACAGACACTCCTTCTAATTATAAATTTGGCAACTCTGTATCCCTGACACACAACAAAGGACACGGGCCAGTACACATTAAAATCTCAAGCTCTCGAAGGTATGTCTAGCACTATAAATGGACCAGCTGACCTCCTGGATAATATCTCTCAGGTGGTTATTATCAGGAATTCCTCAAATTATAATTCTCAATGCAGAGATAAAATTGAGTTTCTGGACCTACAAATAATCAGGATGAACCTGGGAACATGTTCACGACTAGTTCTTGTAATGGTCACTCTGTTAAGTTCCATCTGGGTAGCATGCTGATCACTTCAGATCCGGATTTTGCAAACCATAGCCTGAAGTCAAATCCAGCTTGCTGCCTGTTTTGATAAATAAACTTTTGCTGAAACACAGCCATGATCATTTGGTTACGTTCTGCCTATGACTGTTTTTATGACTGACGCAACAGCAGAACTGAGCGGCTGTGACAGAGACTGCCTTGTCTGCCAAGCATAAAATATTTACTAACTGGCTTGTTAGAGAAAATATTTGCTGACACCTGCTTCAGATGATTCCTCCCTCTTATTTCAAAATAATCATACTCTTGGTCTTACTTAGTAATAGAGCTCATTTTCTCCATTTTCAATGGGGAAAGAGATTCATCTCCAATTCCAACACAATGGGAGATACCCAGAGATGGAAATTCCATACTGGCATTGGTAACAAACCAATTAGTATAAAACAAGTGTTTTCAAAACTTTTAATGATGTTATTAAGCCAGCCCTTACTCAGTTTCTCCTCTGAATAATTCCTGAAGCTAACAATTCTTAAATCATCATTGGTCATGAACTAATCTTCTATAAATTTGTCATTTCTTCAAGTCACGTGTTTTATCTGGCTTCTTACTACTTATAACTAATAGGGAGACAGCATCAGTACAGTTTCTTCAATTTACCTATATATCCCCAAATCATGATGACTTTTACATTTGAAGGAGGGCATAATTTTGCTTTTCACAGCATCACTGTATAAGTAACACATGTACAATTGATGTACAATTGTAATTATTTGCTATCGAAATTACCTAAGTCTAGTAATTTCCTATTCTAATACTTATGAAATCAAGTACTTTTCTTGCTAGAAAAGCAGTATGACAAAATTCAAACTAAATATAAAACAAAGCAATCATAAATGTATAAATGGGCTTATTTTAAAAAAAAGAAGAAAGGAGGAAAGAAGGGAAGGGAAGGGGTGAAGAAACAAACCACCTTTTAACAACTGTTGATTTACATGCAAGCCTCACAAAGACTAAGACAACATACTGGAAAGAATGCAACAAACACTCAGTTTCAGAATATGACAGCATCCCCAGGGGAAAAGATGGAGAAAATTACTTTTGGAAAGCAGCAGAAGCAAAGACTTCTACTACAATTACCTAAAGATCACGATTGACCAGGTGAAAATGAAAACTATATATATTGGTGACCTGGTAAGCAGACATTTAAGATCACACTTGAATTACTCTTTTAATGGTCTAGAAAACCCAAAGTAAACAAACAGAAAGCCGATGTCTATGAAGTATCTTCAGAAAGTAACAGAGATACAGAGGAATCATAATCCAAAAACAAGGGAAAATGAGAATAATTAAAAGTTGAGTAAATCTTCCTGTGGCAAATATTCCCATAACTCTATAAAAAATATTTTAAAATACTGAAACTTATATACTAGAACATATTGCTCATGCATGACATGAACTTTACTATGAGTAAACATTTAAATGAGGAAAAAATTAAAAGTATATCAATGAAAAATAACATTTAAATGTACATAATTTACTATAAAATAATTTTACAAAATATTTATATAAACATATTAAGTTTTACCTGAATGTGTCCGAAAATGCATTTCTAGACTTGATTTGCCTTTAAAAATTTTCTTGCAAACATCACACTGATGAAATGTTGCTTTATATCTAAAGAAGAGGCTTAAGTTATTAAATATAATTTTAATAGATAACCTAATTACAACTTTACATATAATTCTCACATTAATAAAGCACAAAACTCTGAGGGAACACAGAAACCCTTTTTACATATCTCCAAAAACTTACCCTGGTTCTTCCTTCTCCAGGTGTAATTAGCAACAAAACAACAGAAAAATCACTTGCTGTCAAGTAAAGTAAACTCATTGTGACCCTATGTGTTTCAGAATAGAACCCTGGATCCATGAGGTTTTCAGTGGCTGCTTTTTTCAGAAATAGATCTCTCTGGCCTCTCTTCCAAGGTGCCTTTGGGTGGGCTTAAATTGTTAACCTCTCAGTTAACAGCCAAGTATGTTAAATCAATTGCTCTACGCAAGGACAAATGTATAAAGAAGATTTTAGATACTCAACTGCTTTAACAGTTTATACTCATGAACATTTTTCATGAGTATAATCATTTGTTATTAAAATATATGAAAAAGAAAAAATACACATTTCTGAAGGTAAAAGAAGGGGCTGACTGCTAAGGGGTACAGCAAAACTTTGGGGGGATGAATGGAACTATGCTATAAATTGTGCTGGCTATATGACTGCATGTCTTTATCAAAACTTGCAGAACTACACACCAAAACCAGTGAATTTCACTAGAAATCATCGTTGTTGTTAAGTGCCGTTGAGTCAATTCTGACCCATAGCAACCCTATATAGGGTTTCCAAGGAGCAGCTGGTGAACTTGAACCACTGACCTTGCAGTTCAAATTACTCTGCAGTCCGATGCATTAGCCCACAGCGCCACACCAGGACTCCTATATAAATCATATTAGTATTAAAATGAACTTTTTTTTTCTTAAAAAATGGGAATTTGATACTAAGACTGATTTAAAAAAAATGAAGAAAAAATAGAGTAAAATGCTAGTGGTTTATTTTTATTATAGATAAATAAATACACATAAATAAAGTTATAAATACAAAAAAGTAACTTACTTAGCAGGTTAGTGATGTACCTAAGAGTAAGTGTTTAGGAATTAAATGCTAGTCTCAAAATTTAATTGTTTTGAATATTAAGATAGGTATAAGTAAAATAATTAACATTTAAGTGGTAGGTACTGCCATCTCATCTAGAATGCAATTCTTACCTAATGTGTACATGGCAGCCTGGCAAAATAATTACTTCAAACCTAGGCGTCTATAATGTTCTGTAAGAAGTTTGCTTTTAACATATCCAGTTAGATTTACCTAAAATGTTTCAGCATATTATTGCCAAATTAAATAGCAGTATAGTATGCTTAGGGTTTCACAAGCTATACACAAATTTAAATTCAGCCAAGCCAACATTTACAGAGTAGCTCTGCTTTAGTAAAACACCATGTTAGACCCGGTCTTCAAGAAAATTACTTCTATTTGATAACAGACATTAAAAGAGATCATTTGGTTAGTGAATTTGGGGTGCCACTGAAAACTGTGACATGAGATGCCCAACCCATTATGCTTGATCTGTCTTATGTAATCACATCCATGGTTACGTATTACATGAAAATTGAACAGGGTTACCATGTGAACATGCAGAAAGGGTTACTAATGGAATCTTACTGGGTGTGGCACTGTGAGTTAATGGGCCAGACTGCAAAGACCTTTGAACTGCAAGGTCGGTGGTTCAAGATCACCAGCTGCTCCTCAGAAACCCTATACAAGGTTGCTATGGGTCGGAATCAACTCGACGGCACTTCACAACAACGTTAGGACATGTAAGGTCACAGTACTAACCAGGACAATTTTGTCCTCCAAGGGACATTTGGCAATGCCTGAAGATATTTTTGTTTCCCACAATTGGAGGGGAGGTGCTGCTGGCATCTACTGGATCACTAGTGATACTACTAAACATCTGACAAGGCAGCCCCTAGCTACAGACATAGAATAGACCAAGATATTGCAGTTCCATCACTACTGACCAGATATCCCAAATGTCAATAGTACTGTAATTGAGATATCTTGGTCTATTCTATGAAGAGAACAATATTTTGAAAAATACAATAATGCTCAAAGCATTTTAGTTGCCTCACAGTGAACTTAGGACAAAGATAAACTCTGAAAGATCTTGCACTGCTCCAAGCTCTCTCTCTCCACCTCTTTCTGTCTCACTATATAGATCCAGTATTATAACCACTCCACCACAATCCCCCTGGCTGGCTGTCTATGCTAAAGACACTGTACTTTCAATTCCTTTAACTCATTCTGTCCCATCCCACCACCTAGACTTTGTAAGCACTGTTCCTCGTTCCTAGTCTCTCTCTTCTTTTTTTAATGTGGTTAATTCTTAATTTCCTCTTGATTTTCAGTTTTATGATCACTACCTCAAAATAGTCTTTCCTATGTTGTTGTTAAATGCCATCCAGTTGATTCTGACTCATAGCAACCCTGTATAGGGTTTCTAAAGAACCACTGGTGGGTCTGAACCACTAACCATGCCATTTAGCGATTACCCTACAGTGCCACACTAGGATTTCTAACAAAGTCAAATTCTCTTTTCATATGCTATCATGGTACCATGTAAGTATCCTTCATAATATTTCTCCAAATTGTACTTTTACACACATGCATCTGACTGTTCAGTGTTTATAAGTCCATAAGGAAAGGGATCTCATCTTATTTTTTCCTTCCATAGTGTGTCTCTAGCAGCCTAGAGTACTTGACACAAAAAAGCTAAATATACATTTATTATTTAAAATGAATGAATCAATGAATGAGACTAGTGCAATAATTCAGGTAGAAGATGGAAAGATTTTGAACTGAGACAATAAAGGAGCAAAATATCAGAAGAACTTAGAAAGAGTAATACAAGATGATTCTGCATTGATGCTGGTATCAGCAACTCAGATAAGAAAAACAGAGGAAAAACAATTTTGAAAAGATACTTGGTTGGGATATATTAAATCTGAGGTATCTATGTGATATCCAAGTACATAAGCAGAGGACAAATGGACAACCACTATAAAGCTGTAGGAGGGATCCAAGAGAGATTTGGGAGTGAACAGACAGAATAGAGACAACCATTAAAATGAATGAAATCACATTTTAGAGACGCTATCTAGAGTGAGAAGAAGGATAAATCTAAACTGAAGGAAAAACAATTATTTCTATGTTCAACAAAGAAGAGTACAATCTATTCATTCTTCTAGCCTAAATTCAGAGTTTGTAGAACTATTTTCATAAGGCAAAGTTTAAGAATTAAAATCAGTAAAGCTCTCTCATCGATGTATCTTTCATGCTTCTCTTTCACAAAATGGGAAATGTTAAATATGTAGCCGTGACTTACTCTCCTCTTACACCTCTTGAACTAAACTTCAGACTGAGTTAGAAACACTGAACAGTACTAAATTGTTAGAAAAATAAGTTTCATCTTGGATGCAGGATACAAATTATTAGTTGAAGGATGATTAAACAGCAACTTACTTGGGGATTACTGCTGAGATAGCAAAACTACAAAAACATTCTAGCAAATACATACGTAGGCGTGTAGATACATATTTATAAATATTGAAATTGTAAAATGAGAATGAACTATTTAAATTTTAACCATATTTAATCAAATAATTTTACATGTCTGAAATTAAGCAAATTTTAGTTGTTTTAATTATTCCACTGCCCATTTTGATTCTCTTGGGAAGCTATGTTGGCTTTCTTCTTTCATCATTATTTTGTCAGAGTTTTCTAACTTAAGATATTCATATGTTGTTGGTGGTGTTGTTAAATGCTGTAGAGTCAGTTCTGACTCATAGCAACCCTACATATGGTTTCGAAGGAGCAACTGGTGGGTTTGAAGCATCAACCTTTCAGTTAGAAATTCAATGCTTATGCTAAAGGACTCCATATATGTGTGCACTGTCCTTTTTTTTTTTTTTAGCAAAGCATGCATGCCTACCTGGAGACATGCAGTTAATATAAATGAATAAAACAAATCAGATATAAGATAACAGTGCTAGAGTTTCTTGTATCTAACCAAATATATTAGAAAATGAAAGCAGGAGTATGTTTAGTAGACAGGTGGTGAAAAAAAATATATTACTAACTGAAAAGTTTTATATCTACAGAGAGCATATGGCAACTTGAAAGAAAGAGAATGAACCAACTGAGCCCGTAATTCTTAAGAAAGTGGCTGTAAAGATCTAGAGTATCAGGATATGCTGGTTAACTTGTTGAACTCAAAACAGTAAGAGCAATGACTGAGAAAAACTTTGAGTGACAAAGGAGAACAGAAAGTATCAGATCAAGTGTATGTTACAAATGAGCTCATATTTGCTCTGTTGTTGTTGCTATTAGGTGCCATCGAGTAAGTACCGACCCATAGTGACCTTAT